GCAGTTTATTGCTGCTGGGTTAATATTTTTCACATGTTAATTTCACTAGATCACCTTCCAGCTCAAGAATATGCAGTGGCTCCTGCTGCCTGCTGGATCAAATCCACATTCCTGCACTGTGTGCCCAAGGCCCCAGTTTACTGGGCCTGGGTCACTTCTAAATGGAGAACCCATGCAGCCTACAGGAAAGAGCTGGACTTTGATGCTGGAAGACCTCATTTTTAATCCCTTCTCTGCCATTTATTCATTATGAGACTTTGAGCAAGTTATTTAAATTCCCTGAGCTTCAGTAAACTTGCTTGAAAAAATCAAAATAATAAAATCTATCTTGCTGTATTATTATGAGATTTCAATATATCTTGCTGTACTATTATGAGATTTCAATATAATGTCCAGCACAGTGGGTTGGCACCACTCATTTATATTTTTGTTCCTTTGTTCACATTAGTCCCCACACTGGAATGGCCATCCCCCTTCCCTTTACTCCCCCCAAAATCCTCATAAAGTGTTAGTGAAATGGGAGCAGCTGTGCAAGACCTATTTGGGACAATGGGGTCTTTCTACCAAGCTTTCCTGTATCTGTTTTTTAAAAATAGAGGTGGAAATCTCTTTACTGGAAAATTATTTCCTGTTGAAACCAGTCCTTATTCATGATTCCATTTCTCAAAACTCCCATGGGCAATGTAAATGCTGATAATTCCTAATTCTCATTTATTTACAAAGTCAACACATATTAATTGGGTGCCTATTAAATGTCAGACAATGAGTAAGGCGCTAATGATATACCTGTGGTCTTGCTCTACAGAAATTATCATCAGTTATGGAAAATAAGTCTGTCAAAGACGCACAAAAGAAGGAGAAAGTGTATGATGGTAAGAAAAGTCTAGGCTGCTCAGGAACCAGGCAGAGGCAGCCAAATTTAGGTCAGAGGATAAGGTAAGTCCACCTAGAAAGACAGCTGTTGAAACCGAAATTTGACTTAGGAGGAGAAAGCTTGGTGGAATTGGGTGGGAGAAAGATTTCAGGACACAGAGACCAAGAGTTTTCTGAGCAGAGAAACAGTACTTGCAAAGGCTTAGGGAGGGCCAGCACACATGCTACCAGGACTTAAAAGAAGTTCCATGGCTGGAGTTTGGGTTGGGGTAGGGAGTGTGGAGAAATAGGAGAGGTACCGGTTAAGGAGACTCCCATCAGCTAGGAAATGAATTTGTACTTTATCCTAAGGGTAAGGGAAAACAAGAGTGTGGATTTTAAATCCAGGATTTTAAACAGCCTGGATTTTTATGGCTGTTAAACTTGCACATGGTTTCGTAAGACTTGGCATGCCATCCTGTGTGCTGTGTCACACTCTAAGCACATGAAATGTGGTGTGAAAGATGGTGCATGAGTCTCTGGACCTGACCTTTCTCAAGGAAGTCTGGTAGTACAGCTTGAAGCAGCAAAGTGATGTGAAAGGAAGGTACACCATGCATCAGTCACTGGGTAACAACAACAACAGCAAAACCAGGAAAGAGAAGAGGACAGCGTGGTCCCCTCAGGCAGTGTCAGTGAGCCGTAGAGACAAGCAAAGGCATCCACTGAGACCACTTGTACTTTCACCAGCAAATGGCCCTAGATTTCATTTCTAGAGTGGTTCTCTCAGGACCGTATTGAAGGCAGAGCACAGGGTGGTCTTAATCATGTCATTTATCCTGGCCCCCAGATGGAGTCAGGTTGGCATGTTGCAACAATCATGGGCTTAGAAGTCAAAGGAGCCTGAATGTGAATCTGTTCTCTTCCACTTACTACTTGTGTGTCGTAGGGCAAGTTGCAGTCTCTCCAGGTCTCAGTCTTCCCAGCTTTCATAACCTGGCCACAATTACTGCCTCTGAGGGTGCTTTTGAGGAGTAAATAAGAGTGCACATGAAAGGATAGAATACCTAGAATATCCACCCTGTGGCACATAATAGACCCTCATAAGAGGTGGCTCTGACTGTGATACTGTTGGCTCTGTAACCTCTCAGCATCAGGCTATACAAGAAAGTGTAAATGGCCTCCCACAAGAGTAAGGAATATGGAAAGTAGAATAAGAAGCCTGCTTTGGGAGCAAACTTTACTGAATTTGAATTCTTTAAGTGGCAGAAAGTAAATAAATGTTCTTAGCTTTAGGGTATGTGCTTGGCTCTTATTTCACAGTTGCTACTCACAGAGATAGCAGGAATATGACTGCTAATTAGGTATTCATTGAGTAGCCTTTATTTTCTTACAATGAACACATAATTAAGATATCGAGAGTGTGTGTGTGTGTGTGTGTGTGTGTGTGTGTGTGTGTGTGTGTGTGTGTGTGTGTGTGAAGGGTCCTTCTGTTACATACCACTAATTTAATTCGGTAGCTCCCTGGCCAGAAAAGAGCAAGTGTATTCTCCATCCTTTGTTACTAATCTAACTGTATTCAAGTACGTGATTTGCAACCTGAATATTGCTTTCTGTGTTTGCATGAAAGCAAGTCGGGACAGGGGTGCCTGAGTGTGTCTGAGACTCTGTCCTTTCCCACTCGTCTAGTCTCAGTCAACACTGCTGCTCCCTGTGGAAGCATGAGTTGCCCAACACCTAAAATAGATAACTCATTGCTTCTCTAAGAGAAACGTCGGCCAAATGAGCTGATAGAACCTAATGAGCCAAGTCTGCAAGCATGTGCCATTCAGAGGGACTTCCTCTGAATTCTGTGAAGACAAGGACAGCACCCAGAACATCTTTGCTGAACGATCTGATTGACCAAGAAGATGAATGCCCTGCTTATATCAAAGCTGTATTACTTCCCACAGAATGTGCCACACTCCATCAGTACCCAATCTTCCCAGCAGCCTCTGGAAATTCCCCCAGACCTACTAAAAGGTAAACCAGTATGTCCTCTCATTTTATAAAAGATACAGATGACAATCACCTGCCACAACTACCCAGAACAAGAGACTAGAATAGCATAAAACAACAAAGGGAAATTTACATTAACCTTAATTCCTCCTAAGAAGGGAGCTGTATGTGTTAAGGAAAGCTCCCTCACAACATAAGGTGAGACTGCAGCCCCAGGTTACCTTAATTTGGGTAAAACTGTTCCTGCTAGACTGACGAAGAAGGTATGTAGAAGGGGAAAAGAAAGGGGAAAAAAGGTGAGAGTGAAGTCTGCACCTCTGCAAGGTAACTCTTTCTTATGAATGCCCTAAATAACTGATGAAGTTGTTAAAACTCACGAAATGCTTGAAGAAATGTGTTTTTACAAACTCGATGAGGAGCTTTCTACCATGTTTTGCATGGGGTGAAACCAAAGCAATAAGCTTGGAGCAGGGGAGCAGAGAGCAGCCCAGAAGAGTGTGCTTATTCCAGGGCACTGGAATTGGAAGTAGGTTCTGTTTAACCAAATCTTCAAAGGACAGGTGGCTCGGGGCATGTGGGTAATACATATTTTTGATTAGTGGCCAGTGAATGTAAATTTATCAACTAAAAATCTGGCCCACAAATAATAGCCAGCACTTATTTGACATTTATAAATGTACATGCTCTATAGCTCTGTTGCTTGAGTGATGGGCATCCATAAGTCATTTTAAAAGAATAGTGTCACATAAAATGAATTTTTCTAGTTTATGAGCAATTCCTAAGTACTTGTCTCTTAATTGACTAAAGGACATCCAGCGTTAGTGGAGAGAGTTCCTACTTGAAAAAGTCCCTGCTCAATATTCAACAACAGCACTATTTTCAAAATATTTCAAGCCTTGAAAGATCAGCACACATTTT